AATCAAATCAATAGCTATTTTTAAGAATAATACACAGGTTATAATTCGAGAAACAGGCGCGGATCAAGAATATATTTACGGAAGAAAGGGAAGCATCTTAAATAAAAAGCTAATAGGTAAGTATTATTATTTAAATTCTGGTTTATCAGTCTACGGGGGGAATGATCCTTGCCCCCTCCTTAGATCCGCGCCTACCAAAAATACAATTAAAAATATATCAATTTCAAGAACTTTGAAAAAACTTTAAAAAAAAAAAACAAAATAATCTAGTATATATTCTAAAATTTGCGACTAAAAATTATACATAAATGATTATAATATGGATACCAAGCAATTCAGAAATAAAAGTAAATATAAAAGAAAACGAACAATCTTTAGTTGCTTGAATTAATACTGGAACATTGATTGAAAAAAATTATTACGAAGATGCAAAAAAACTACACTAATGAAATCATTAATACCAAGTGGAAAAATACTTTTTGATTAAAAAGAAAACTAAAAAATGGCGAGACTTCAACATAAAATGAAAATAATAAATTAGAAATAAAATGGTACGTACTATACAGATTAAACTCAGATCACACCAAGATTACACACGAGTTTTTGATAGCTAAGAGAAAAAAGTTAACCATTATAGAGCCATTTTATTTTATTTTCGTTTAATTAAAACATGTTCGTGAGATTTTAAGTAATTTTGACATCACACCGCAAAAACGAATTACAATTTATTAGTATTATTATTTTTTTTTTTATATAAACTTTATAAAAATATAATGCCTCACCTGTATTAAAAATTTAAGATTAAACATAATTATATTGAACATTTTTAATGCCACATAATGTATGATATATTTTAATACATAGTTAACGGTAGTAGAGGCGTATAAAACCGTTTATTTCTATTTTGTTCAATAAACTTTGTGAATAATGTAAGAGACTTTGTGTATCTTACCTTGACGTTCCACTCGACGCCTAAACCTGGGAAAACGAACTGTACGTGTCTTTGTTACGACTCGTTTACACATAATAATATTACAATGGGCACTCTTGAACGATGACGTGAAAACGATTGATTAAAGATTGAGATTTCATAACACTTTACTCGAAGACATAAAAAACGCAATCACTGTGGTTTGTGAGATGGTAGAAACTAGAGATGGGCATAGAGAAAACGGCTGCTATACGGTAAACGATATGGTAAGTGGTTACCTCCATCGCGCTTATTTAAGTTGAACCGCGCGCATTTAGAATCTCACTGGATTTTTCTAAGAAATAATAATCTAACAAAGGATTTCCAAGCGCGCCCATTTTTTGATTCCATAGTAAGGTTTTACAAACCGAAATAACCTCTGTCGGCTCTGTCCATTGTCCATATAATTTCACTCTCAAAATATACGAGTAATCGAAGCATTTTATATTAATCATGCTGATTATTTATCGACATATTAATATATTTCTTAAATTTACGATAACTTGCGTAGAAAATTATGAACGAAAAAAAAATAAAAATTACCTATATAAAAATGTTGTCATGAAAATACAACATTAAAATCAATATATATATCTCTTATTTAACAAAAATTTAAAAATTTAAAAAAAAACAATTACAACACATGGTAATACTTCAGAAGATATTTTAACCAACTTTATGGAAATATAAAATAAAAAAAATTATTAAATTGCTTGTCTAAAAATCAGAAAATAAAACAACTTAATCCCTTATACTTATAAATATATGAAAATAATGAATAATTAATATATTTTGATCTGCAACGTTATTATTATATTTATTATTGCAACCAACAACAGTTTAATCAAGTCGAATGTGAATTCCACAAGTTAAAATACAAAAGCGCTCTGAGTATTGTTGAAAATTTTTAAATTATAGTGCATATATTTTAGGTACCATATACCAACTAAATGTTATAGTAGGTATTAATTCTAAATTTAATTATTTTTATAAAGTATAACCGATCAACGTATTGTATAGATAAGGCTTTTATTTGTATTTTTTGTACAATAATTTAAATTTGTGTCTTATTGCACTTTAAGTTTTAACCAAACATTAATACTATGTTTAATTAAATTATTTTTTGTAAATAAAATAATAAAAAAACTATAAAATACTTTAAATTAACAACTTCTTACTAGTTCAAACGCGCTTTTTCTTCCAATAAATTTAATCAGATCCGTCAATGACGTACCTACTCAGTGACTTGATTTAGATAATACGACTAAATAGTAATACATATAACATTTAAATTTAACAAATCAAAATAAAACATATTCAATCAAAATTGTTATAATAAATATAAAAAAATTCAACTTACTTTATTTACATAATATTACAAAATTAAAATTGCAGTATTTCCTCAACTTATTATTTTTTTTATCTATAAAAAAATTTTAAGACTTTTTTAATAACGCTTTAGTAATGCATAGTGTACATAATTTACTATAAACTATTAAATATAAATATTTACATATTATATCCTATCATAATTATATATATTAAATTATTTAATATTATTATAGTTAAAATTTAAATATAATTTAAAATAATAATTTCACATTTCAGAAAAGTATATAATTGTATAATATAAATATACATTTAGTATATAATATAATAATATTATTGTCCGTCAAATAATAATAAATTGTTGCTGATTTTTTTTTTCAATTTACTTTTAAATATATCTATTTTATTTCCCAATTTAATAATTTTGGATATATTATAATAATATAATATAGTTTAAGCTTTTTAAAATAAGTATATTAAAACTATATAATATGATTATAATTTGTGTACATTGTGTTATAAAAACATGAAAATAAGAAGAAAAATATTATCTAAACATTTTCGAAGTTGTTTGTTGAGTGTATATTACGCAAAATATTATAATTTAAAAGAAATTTATATATTTTGAAGTTGCTTACATGTTATAGGTACATTTCAAAAGAAATTATAAACTTTATGCATGTAGTACAATAACTTGCAAAAGTTAAAAATTATGCTGTACAAATTTACTAAAATAAAATTACTTTATTGGCTGACAAAACAATGTATTTTTTTCATTTAAAAATGATAGTATAAAATATAAACCGAATCAAAATTAATTTATTTTTATTACTAATATTAAACCCACATTTAATAATAACATCTAAGTTTAGTTATCATAAAATAACTCATATTTAAAACTGTTAAATTACAAGAGAGTGTTATATTATTGCGTAATACATAACATCTAATCATACATCATAAAATTAATTAAATAAAAAATCAGAGTTTTTATTTTATACGGAGAAAATAAAAATCTATGAGTAATGTTCAATAACAAAACGTCTAATGGTGTGTATAAAAATTATAAACTAAGACATTTAGATTTATTTTACTGATATTAACAATATTAATGTTACTTAGTACTAAATTACTGGAAACAAATTATTAGAATTATTTTATTTCTGCATAACAGTATTATTAAAAACCATCAATTATTATTATCAGATTAATAATCGATATTCAATAGATGTATAAAATTTAAATTTAAAAAACAAAATTTTCAGAATTAGCAATTGGTTTATTTCATAATATTTAACTTCCAAATACACGCAACAATATGGCCAGATCAAAAATAAGGTATCACTTGTGTTACATTATGAAAATTTAATACCCTGAATTAGTAAATTGGTAATATTTTTTAGTCGTGGTTTAATTTAAATTGGGGTAGGCAGCCATTATTGATGATATAGTCTCGACCCGCGGTATAGGGGTAAAATTATAAAATATATCTTTTTTTAAGTATGTAAAAGTCTGTATTTATGTTTAATTGTGTTTTTCAAATTATTAGCGAACATCATCATCCATGACTAATATAATAGGTAAGCGTGGTAAAGAAACAAAAATATTGGTTAGTGACAAGGTATATGATTGCAATTATTACAGTTATAAACAAAGACATTTTATATATTAATATTTAGATGTTATAGAAATATTAAACATCATTTTAAATATTGCTTTTTTAAAAGCAGGTACCTACTGAAATTCAATTTTTTATGAATTTTTAAGTACAAATTAATTTGTAAATATTATATAAACAAGTATTAGCGACTAGGTACTAAAAAAAAAAAAAAATATGCTTTAATTACACTCTTTAGGTATTTTATATTTTTAGTACTCTTCCACTAATAATGTAATCTAGTTCTGCTTATTTTTATTTTATCAAGTGGTTAAATAAAAAAAAATACGTTTCACTGTTGCTTGATGTTGTAAAATAATTTGTATTGCCACAGTCCTGAATATCCGTTCTCACCTAGGTATTGATAAAGTGCTACATGATATTTGAAGTTTAGCTGATCATAAGGATAAGGTTTTCGAAATATTATAATATAACCTAATAAATTTTAATTTTTTATAGATTATTATAAATAATCTGACCTCAAAGTTAAGAATCACATACTATACTGTATTTTGTGCTGTAATAAAGTTATAAGCATTTTGTGTTTAATGTATTAGTTCTCAAAGTGAATAAACAAATACTTAAGATTCAAAAGTTTTTTTTATAAATCTAAGTTTAAACTAGAAAAAATACCCCCATGATTTTTCTGATTATTTAATATTTAACATTTGTATTTACTATTTTGTATAATTGTAATGTAAACTGTAGTTCAATGTAGAAGGTCTCTAGCATAATAATGTATACTTCAATAATACAATATTATGTTTATTAAACTTATTTTTTAACCTTTACCAAATATCAATGAGAAATATAATTAATATATTGTCATTAATATTATGTTTATAACCACGTTTACTCTAGTTAAGACGAATATTATGCATTATATAATTAAGGTTTATATAAAAGTATGTAATATATTTTATAGATTACTAAATGGATAAAAAGTTAGAGTTCGAAATTTTTATGAACATATACAGGTGATCATATATTATAAAAACTATTTTAATGTTTATATTTTTCACAAACCTCTTTTATTGTACGTACCTGTAGGTTTATCTGGTTGTCCTAGGATTGACGTCGTCGCACAAGTCGCCACCACGACCATTACGACAACAGTAAACATTTCGTACTTACACGACATGGGAGTTAACGTTACTGTGAATCGGATTTTATAAATTGTGTTAAGCTGGGCTGTGGAAGCGAGTATGTTGCACGTGTGCCGTGGCTATGACGGTCTTACTACCTCCATAATGACACTGTCGGTACGGGACCGTCAATGCCGTATGTCGAGCGACGTGCCCCTCGTCTGGTATACGAGGATCAACGGTAACGGTCTCACGGCAATACTCTACACGCGAATTTTCGGAGACAACAGTTGCAGTGGCGGTGTAACGGACGTGCGACTGATCGTCTTTCGGCAGTACAAATCGGCGTTCCAGACATGTGCGGACGGCGCCGGAGTCATTGGAGAACTGGCACGTTGATTTTCCGACCGTGGACGAGAAAACGGATTTTCCGGCATGCGCTTGCGCACACACACGCACGTTGGCGTGAGTCTCGTTTACACCCGCACGCTAGCAGCTCTCATCCCCAGCATATAAACCCCGAGGCCGATCACAGGAGTCACCAACGTCGTCGATGCCGCCGATTATAATTTAGTCGAAGCCCGAAGGGTCTGGTGAATTTTTATTTCGTAAACTTTACATTTTTAGCTTTTAAAATTGTGCTTATTAATGACGCTGTGTGTACAAATTTTCGCGACCAAAGTCGACCAGTGCATTATATTTCTATTAATAAATTATAATAAAATTAAGTAAAAATATATTTCAAATAATATGCAATACAAAGCCTGACACATCATATCCGTGCCTAAACTTTAGTTATAAAACGTGTTTTTATCGCTCAAGATTCCCCTACCCCTTACATTAAAATTATACACTCCTACATTGATTACACCGTAATTATAATATTATTATTATTCATTAAACATATCGTCCTAATGATTATCATCGTTAAATCTATGGTGGCATACCCGTAGAAAGGTCGCACCCACTCCACCATTGACATTTCAACATTCAAAATGTTTTCAAAGTATCTACTTAAATTATTTTATAATTTACAAAATAATTGGGGAAAAAAATATTAAAATAAATAAAAGTATCTACACAAAACTAATTTTTAACAAAATCAACTTTGTTTTTTTTTTTTTTTGTATTCAACAGTTTATAACTGTAGAGACATTAACAATTTTACTTAATATAAATTTAAGTTAATATTTTCTATGTATGATATGATATCCAAAATATTTTAGTATTACTTTGAGCTATTTATTGATTTTTAAAATTTTTTAGTTTTATCAAAAATTTTTCGCTTGATCATAAGTTATGAGTAGTTATGACTCATAAGTCATAAGTGACTCATAACTCATAAAACTTAAAAATGTAGTAAGAATATTTTCATAGTTGATTTCCACAACAATTAGTAAAATAAAAATTACATAATCAAAATTGTTTTTATAACTAATTTATAAACTTTATATTTTGATCACATTAATAATTCATTAAACGTTAAAATTATAAAATTATTCTGTAGTTTTCAATACTTAAAACTTAAAAATATAATACAGGATTTCTGATAATTTGTTTTTACATTAATTTAAAAATATTGAATACATAATTAGTACAAGTTTCTTCATAGATATTTTAAGCTAACATTTTGATGAAACTACTATTTTTACCTACAACTAGACAATATACAGAGGACTGACTCCACCGATCAGATTTTTTTTATATTTATGTATTTTATTAACGATTATTCCTCCTCCAACTTCTCTTAACACTATCATAATTTTTTTGTATTACAAGTATATGTTTTAAGATTAGTTCTGTGCCTTAAGAGAGGATAATAAAGGAATAATCGTAAATACAAATTTTTTTTAAAACTCCATGTCTCCATATATCATTAATAATCATACTCTATGTTGGCAATTTTCAACTTTTTAAAGAAATGCCTTGCTATTAAAAATTCTATTTTTTCTATACATGTTAACACAGAATAAATCTTTTTACGTGTCATTTCATATGTTAGTACTCAGTAACCATAAACTATTTGTCAAAGATACTTAAATACGATGGTTAATATTTTATTTCCAACTTAGGTGAAATATATCACATTGCATAGTAATAAGTGATAACTGATAACTAATAAAATAATATAAAATAAATATTTAAATATAAATGACATAATAAACTATTCACAATTGCTATGATAATCAAAAGTGATAAAGAACACAAGAATTATTTTCAAAATGATTACCTACTATAATAAATAATTGTTATAACACTTATAACTTATAATTGCCTACATAGTGCTTGTTTCTTATCGTTATCAATAATTTTACAAACGTCTATCATTTTGTACATCCAAGAAAATTAAATTAGACAGTTATCTTTGTGAAATAACTGTCATTTAGCATAGCCGCATTGGGACGTATACAAGGGGGATGTAGGGGTCAAATCTGAAATCCCCTCATAGGCCATAAGCTTTTTTTTTAATTTTATAAAATTTTGTTTTCAGTGTAAGGGCGTCACAAGGAAATATAAAAAAATAAATAGGATTTTTTGGAAGTTTTCATTTCGTCACACAAATAACAAATGGTTAACTAATGAGTAATGAACAATCTGTAATCATATTAATATTTTGTTATATTAATTTCATATAACATATAATATAATAATATTTTATAGGAATAAATAATAATGAATAAATATAATTTTATTATTTATTTATAAGAATAAAATTTGAACGACCTACTGCTGTCATCGCTGCCGATAAAAACACTATTACGAATTTACGATTTATGACGACGCGCGATGTCCGGCATATCTGTGCGAATAATAATAGAATATCCTACATTACAAAAAGTGTTAAGAAAATAAGATATGTAATAACTAATAAGTAATGCTCATTACTTTGAAATTAGTACTAAAATACTAAAATATTATCAACTTTGTGGTAATGCTGGTTATCTATAATTTGTTCATTGAAACCTAAAAATAGGCTAAATAATGATTGATAAATAAATATTATTATCTAAAAACAAAAATCAAATATAAATGAGAATCGGAATATTCGGAATCCGGTTACTCGTCAATCGTCATTCGTCACTCGTCGTTTGTTTGTATTTATATTGTATTCTATAGTGCTCATAGTCATAACTCATAATTCATAATAATGTTATTCCAACTATTCCGAGATACTAAGTTGATTAAATTGTACATTTAAAATTTTAATAATTATGTGGAGACAACAAACTTTAAACGATTTTTTTAAATCATCCTCGGCTTCTGTGGTAACTCATACAATTATAAAAAGAAATTATGATGATGGTTCCGTTATTCTTACTCCTCCAATATTAAAGCATATGGATATGGATGGTTTAGAAATTGCTGAACCAGCAATACAACACCTACAAAAAATTTAAATTGTGATCTAAAAGATAATGAAAAAAATCTTGTAAGTAAATTGTTGAATTTATTTATGATTTATACATTTTTATTATATTATAGAATGATTAGAATGAATAAGTAGTATGTTATTACTTTTAATTACCTATTTATTGGTTATTTTTTTATTAATTAACTAATACAAATTTTAATTTTTAACTAAATTATGGGTTCTGACAGAAACCTATAAATTTCCATTAGTTGAAAAGAATAAAATTAGAAATCTTAAATTTCAATATTGTTGGTTACAAATTTTACAAGTGGTTAGCATATTCAGAAATTAAACAGGGTGGTTTTTTTCAAAAATTAGTGGAGCTGGTGGTCAAAAGCTTTGTGTACTTAAAGTGAAACTGATGGATAGTTTAAAAAAAGCTTTAGAAGTAAGTATTAAGATGTATTTTTTACATACCTATTTAAAAATGCAACAAAATAATTACATTATTCTTCATTTTTATAATTATAAGACTTTAAACAACCATGTTAATCATGAATATCACAAATTAGCATTGCTAAAAGCTGATAGATTTTTGAACATCTGTATGCAAACAGAATCAGAAATAATAAACAGTTTAAATGAAGAAAGGCAAGTTTGAAATTTAATAATGCTTTGTTTAAATATATAATTAAAAATTTATGTTATTTTTTCTTATACATTAAATTTAAGTCAAATTCTTCAAAGTAAACAACAAGACTTATCAAAAGCACTAAATGATGTTATAACTGTACGAGAATCTTTAGAATCTATAAAAATAATTTTATACAATTATTACTATTGTTTTTATACACTTATAATTTTGTTGGGATTAACCCGTTTTTATTATTAAATTACTATTACTATTTATTATTATGTATAATATATATATATATATATATATATATATATATATATTAACTTAATGGTTGACTGAAAATATAAACAAATTATTTGCATTATAAATATTAAATAGTTGGTTTATTTTATTTTTTTTTTTTTTTTTTTTGGTAGTAGGTAGTATAATATATGGTAAAATTTTAGACAGTGTGTGCCCCCCCTCCCCCAAAAAAAAAAAAAAAAAATCCTGGATACACCACTGATAAAATATATAATGTTATGTGGCCACCAAGAACTTGCGTTAAGAGGCTATTAAGGTTTTGGTTCAATTTAATTTGATGATTAGTTAAATTGTAATAAATATATGGTTTTATTTATACTTCCTGGATCAGCAAATCATTGTTATAATAGAAAATTGTTTGAAGATATAAATTACCTATTTAATTACAGAACAATCTAAAGTAAATGAAGGAAACTTCGGTGAAATATTAAAATATAAAACTAAAGACATTGAGCACATAAAAAATTTTCTTTCATTGGACTATTAAAACAAATATATAAGTCCTTTCATTTAAAATTAAATTATAAACAGTTATGGAGATATAATTTTAAAAAAAAAACTTGTGAGAGAAATTAATGAATTGGACTATTTTAGTGTATTAGTTAATGAAACTTAGGATGTATCTGTAAAGGAGCAACTTACAATAATTTGTATCTGATACTTTGTTAGTACTTGGAGTCTGGAAAAGATACAAATATTCACAAAAGTTTTATAAAATTTACTAAAGTTTTAGTTTAACAGGAAAAAATTTAGCTTCATCAATATTAAATAGTAATTTATAATGCAACGTTACAACAAGTATTTATTTTACTGAACATAATTTTATCGATGTTGTTTTAAATCTCAACTCGTGTGGAATTAATTGTGATAATATTTGTGGGCAGGGATATGATGGAGTATAAAATATGTCGGGGCACATTAAAGGAGTTCAAACCATAATTAGAGCACAATACTTCAAAGCCTTATATGTGCATTGTGTGGCGCATATCTTAAATTTACCTGTATCTTCTGCTTGCAATATCCAATCAAATTAGAAACTGCTTAGGGACAGTACAAAAAATAAATTGTTTTTTTTTTTAATTTTCTTAAACGTCAGAATGTAATTTTGACAGCAATTAATTAGTGATTTGGAACCAAAAATCAAAACGTTAATGTGCAACACGGTGGGTTCAACAATATGATGCATTAAATGATTTTGAGAACTATTTCCATATGTAGTCTCCCCATTAGAAACTATATCCAAGTAGTTTGATGCATCTTCTGTGAATGCTAACTTTTAATTGAAGCTATAGATTCCAAATTTTTAATATCTTTACAAGTCATAAAAATAAATATATCTAATAATAATAATATGTGTTTAAAGTTAATTATACCTATGCATTTTCATAATAATATTAAATACATTTATCTAGTTTTTTTTTTTTTTCATTTAAATGTATTAATCATTTATTTTTATTTTAGGTTTTATTCTCTATAGACAACCTTCATGTAAACAACTTCAACAAATATAAATTAACTAGCTGACCCGGCCACGCGTTGCTGTGGCTAAATGTTCTTACACTTGATATTAAGCAGACAGTCTTAAACTTTTAAACGTTAATATCTAATTTTTTAAATTATAAATACTTTTAATTTTTCTATTTAATTTAACACCAATCGGTGCACAATGCTTTTGGTTAACCTGTCTTTAGCTAACACAAATAGATTCGACAGTTTCTCAACACGTGAACACGCAACATATAGTTGCCCATGAGAAAAACATGGATTTTCCAAATCTAAACCACAAATGGACATTGTTTGACCTTGAGATTTATTTATAGACATGGCGAAAGCTAAACGAATTGGAAACTGTAGCCTTTTGAAGGGTATGGTAGAATCTGATGGTATCATCGGAATACGTGGCAGCAGGACCACTTTTCCTTTAAACTTCCCAGACAAAATGGTTGCTTCAAGAATGTTTCTGGTAATCTTTTTGATGACCAAACGCGTACCGTTACATAATTGAGGTGGCTTCAAATTACGGAGGAGAATAATGGGGGAACCAATCTTTAATCGAAGATTATGTGGTGGCATTCCAGGGATATCTAATGAATTTAAAAATTCATTCGGAAAATTTACACTTTTATTTTCGTCAACAACAGTATCGATTGATTTAAATGACATCAGATCGCCTGGTAACAACTGTTGTATCTGGAAGTTAATTTCGTCAACATCAACGTTTTTGGCTGCCAAATCGCCCGTTGACTAAGCCATTCATGATTCAAATAATTATTCTGTATATCCGGGAAAATACTCTGAATCAAATCATTTTTATCCTGAACAACAGTGCAAAAATTGTCCGCGAAAGTAGAGCGAGATATAACCAGTAAGGTCTGCCGGAAGTCACCAGACAAAAGTAAGATAGCACCACCGTAAAGTTTATTATTGCTGTTTAAATCTTGCATAGTTCTGTTTAGTGCTTCAAGTGAATATTTGTGTGCCTTTGTGCACTCATCCCAAATTATTATAGAACTCTTCCGCAACACTGCAGCTATTCCACAATTATTTTTGATGTTACACATTGCATCTGGTTTATTATGAACGTCAAATGGCAGCTTGAATGTTGGATGTGCTGTTCGCCCACCATCCTAAAGTAGCCGCAATGCCTGACGATGCTACAGCTAATGCGATTTTTTGTTGCGACCGTATTTTGGCAAGAATCAACGATATTAAAAATGTCTTACCGGTTCCACCGGGTGCATCCAAGAAAAAAAAACCGCCTTGTTCAGCAGCAACAGCCAGCATAATCCGATCATAAATAATTTTTTGTTCTGCTGTCAGTAATGGTTCACTGTTCATGATAATTGTTGCTGAACTTCCATGGTCATATTGATTTTCTCGTTGTAAATCGGTATTGACTAAGTCGGTGGCTGGATGATTAGGTGATGGCATACCATAATGATTAAGTGGTAAATTTGAAATAAGAACACATAAATCCTCGATCATGACCAATGCTTCATTGTACATCTCTGGTGTATAATCTCTAATTTGGCATTGATTTATGTGTCTAATTCGGTGCAAGATGTCTTCTGTCATACAATTTTTATATGTTTCCCACAAAGTTTGTGCTTGCGAGGAATAACATGTCGTCAAAATAATTGCAAACAACTGGCGAATGTTATTCGGTGTTGATGTCAACGCAGCATCGGCAAGCGTTAAGTCCCAATGGTTATCGTCTTCTAGCAATTGCAGTTCACGACATGCATCCTGGTATGCATTGAATACTGGACCATTAACTGTTCGTAAAAATTCAAAAGACGTTGGTCCGGGAACATTCACCAATAACAAACGTAAATAGAAGCACTCACGTTGCTTTGGATGTACCGTGTAAAGTCTCCCCAATGTCTTAGCTTTGAATATGCCAATATTGACATACTTTATCCATTCCACCGATAGCAATCATTGAATGCGCTGAGTAGTTAATATCTGGTGCATAATCAAAGGCAAGCCGAACGAATGATGCACGTGTTAATGAGCGGCTGATCCGTTACCTTTGTCGATCTCTTTCTCGTACTGTAGCTATGTTTCGTTCTCGTGCCGCTCTTGTTCTCGTAATATTCTGTTGCAGACGTTCGTCACGCTGTTCTTGAGATTCTCGTGCACGACTTTCTGCAGTCTTAATTCTTTGAGCTGCATTTCTTGTTTCCATTTGTTCTGGTAATTGCTGAGCTCTTTCAACACGTTTGCGTCGTGACCCTTTGCTGCTCGCGTTGTTGAAGTTAGATTTTTTCGGTGGCATGTTATCATAGCACATAAATAAATAAATAAATAAAATAAAATAAAATAAATTGAAATTATTGTGGCCATGGTAACGTAACTTTTATAATATTTTTTTTTTTTCGATTTTTATCGATATTAATCGATTTCAAGCCCTGCTATTATCGATTTTTGTATTATTATTTATATTTTATTTTTATCTGCTAGAGGGTGCCACCGGTGTAACTCGGTTTTTGTCTCTAAATCTCTAACTCACAGGAGTTAGGTCCATACCCTATATCCTGTCTTTTAAGTTGGACCAAATTACACACGGTGTAAAAATTTCATCAGAATCGGTTAAGTGGTTTAGGAGTCCATTGAGGACAAACATTGTGACATGAGATTTAAGAGAAGCTGTTGGAACTGCTCATGATAATGTCAATAGGTACTCTTAAATCTTTGAGAAATAACATAGATGTCAAATTGCATAAGATGTTTGTAAAAGCAAAAATAACTAATAATTATTAAATTAATTAAATTTTATTTATACTCTCACTAATATTTATACATTAGAATTATGTTTTTAAGTTCTATTAGAAAATGGCTGATTTTTTGGATATAACTATTTAATTAATCATCTGAATAAGAGAGCAAAGTTAAGTAAATCCTTTAACAAATGATAAAAAAGAACTTGAACCAGAAACCTATTTTTGAAAAACTATATGTATTCCATTCATCGATGCTTTTGTAAGTCAATAGGAAGACTGATTTTTAGAATATAAAAATGTTTTTAATGGTTAGAACATATCATTGTTTGCTTATTAGTTGTTATTAATATTACCAAATAAATGTACTATTTCATGTTTAAGGTTTTCAGTGTTTATTTTGATACGAGTTAGATGATCCACCAGTTGAGTTTAATGAGCTAGTAAAATTTTATTTCTCTGACATTGATATTGACACTGTCAGAGCAGAGTTAAAAATGTGGAATGTTAAACTCAAACAATTAAATATACAACCAAAGACTGTATTGGATACATTAAAATACTATAATGAACTTATTTATGAAAATTACTAAAAATATTTAATACATTATCATGTGTCTACTGCTACACTTGAAAGGATGTTTTCATGTTTAAAAATACTAAATACCTACCTACTTAAGGAACACCATAAAAGAGGTAATATATATATATATATTTTTGTAAACGATATAAATAAATTTATTTTATTATTATTAGTTACTTATTTTGTATGAGTTATTTCATACACATCTTTTTTGTTTTAGGAGCGACTAAATGGCCTAGCATTAATGGTAGTGCTCAGGAATATTCCTATCAGTGCTGAAGAAGTAATGGCTGAATTATTTTTTTTTTAAAGAAATTTGATTTTGTATTATAATTGATAGGTAAGTTGTAGAATTTTGTAATAAACTGTATTAAATATAATATAACATATATTATTATTTATTATTTTAATGTTTAGATTTAAAAATTGTCCTTCCATGATAATTTGTTACAACTGATCCTCCTCTCCCCATACAAAAATTATGTGTATGTCACTGCACTTAAAACTAGACTGTGATAAGTTTTTAAAAATTTTAATTTTTCGATGTTACACTACCTACTACGATTATTTTTCAATGAGTATTGTTAAAACAATATTGCATACATGCTATATAAAACAGATTGAAAACTTAATACAACATTTCTGTTTGTGTTTTTGCTAGAATTAATAAAATTAAATTATCTAAATCTATTGTAATTTTAAATGACAGTTGGAAGTTGAAACATAGTCAAACTTAGTCAAAATTGTAAAAAATTATATATTATTCAAAGTTAAAATTAATAAAATTGATAATATTTATACTTGAGACTTGAAGATTGGATACAATATTTAAGTTTAAATATTAATGACATGTTTATACTTAAACGAAAAATAATACTTTTATTTATTCTGTTATGACCAATTCAAATAACATTAGTTGTAGGAATTTAAAACATTTTACCATAACCTATTAAAATATAACATACTATAATACAATTTGTTTTTGATCTAATATTAGTTCAACCTATTGTACTACTAATATAAATATGATTTACTAATATCAATTTAAATATATATTATGATGAATGAAACAACAAGTTTACGAAAGAATGTTTTTTTCACCACCATGGTAACATGTTTTCACACAACTATATCCAAGTAAACCATAAGCTGACTCTATAATATATAGAACGTATTCTATGTTATTAATAACATCGTCATTGTTAATTATTATAATATAATAATTTATAGATTTATAGTAATTTTTTTCTTTTTTTAAACATGTCACAAACAGTGGCGTGTCCAGCACAAAATAATTGGGTAGACCCGTTTTATTCTGTAGTATATTTATAACTATTAGGAAAGATTTGTCCTATCATTTGAAATAATATTAGTAGTGAATTTTTGGATTTCCAATTTTGGCTGTTATCCTTTTTATAACAGTTTAATTTATTATTTTAAGAATATTAAAAAGCAGATTAATATTTTCAGAAATATTAATTAATAATTAAATACCAAGAAATTTAACTTCAGTCTTAATTCTATAAGAATAACAACAAATTGTTCATTTTTAAAACATTATCAGTTACAGTGGAATTGTAATTTGTACCTCTTCTCTAGACGACATTTAGACAATGGACAAATCTTCCAATCCTTATAAGCTGATTGTGATAGTATTGTCATAGATGTGTAATAACTAATAAGTAATGATCCACAGCACATTTTTATATTGTTTTCAGTTAATGTAGTATCAGTGGTATCATAATGATGATATTCAATAATAAATATTAATAATATTTTTACTTGTGACAAAAAAAAAAAAAAACTAAATAGTTAAATAAAAATTGAATAGATCCGGGTCTAATCGGCTTACCATGCAAACACGCCACTGGGCTCAAAAATATGAAATGTTTTATTTTAATCGTTACATCATTTGGACTTCTTGACAGACATAATGAGTTAGTACTATATGTAAGTACGCTTTATTTTTTTTTCGGACATTTTTCTAATCAATACAAATTGTGATAAAGGTGACTTGTAATATTATCAAATAAATAAAAGATTTTTCGCGTTAATTGCAACCATTTCCACGACAAGTTGATTGTGAATCCTTCTAAGCAACGTCTTATTAAAGTCTACTATTTCTGTTATTTTTAATTACAGTACGGATATTATTACATTTTATAGTTTTGGTATAATAGAAATATATAGCTTTAGTTTCATGAATAGAAGATTTTGATTAGGTATAATATGAGACGAATTGAGATTTCGAATCAGTTGAGAAAATGAATATTTAGTGGCCCACAAACAAGTCCGTACTTTTGGTAAATACCTACTGTATGGAGTGATCTATTGGAATTGTCATACAGATATTATAGTCAGATTAGGGAATTCATCAACACATAATTTGATGAAAAAGGAAAAAATATACTTTTGGTGGAAATGGTACTTCACGCTTGTTATTTCAAAAAATTAACATTTTTAAAATTTCTTTTATAAAAAATAAAATTAATATTAACAATATTTTTTCTTCTCGTATCTCGTATATGGCATTCCTGTTACTATTCAACAAAACAGTTGTAAAAAATAGATAGGTAAACTGTCTGTCTCCATTCATAATCATTTTTCGTGTACAATAATTTATTATTTAATTAAAATGTAACACACTTCCCATCAGTATTGTGCATTATCTAGATAAAATTATTTATTTATTTTTTTTTTTATTGAGAATTTTATAGTTTTTTTTCTATTTGATTTAATTCTAAGTTCTATGTTTTGAAAATACCTTCAGTTTGAGTGTCTCGTAGTATGTAACGCATGTTGCTGTGCGAAATATTGGTCCCGGAAATACAACACAAGGTAGTCGACGGCAACGTCATTCTACAGCCACGGCGCATTTAATTTATATTTATATAAAATTTATTGTTACTCAACACACTGTATGACTTGGATGTTTGTACGCTCAAGTTAATTTTCGTTGTTCATTGTTTATCTTCATCATAACTCACAAGAGTATTATAGATTTTAATTATAAGAAATATAAGAATTATAGGTAATTCTTGTTTAAAATGAAATCACTGGATCTAAATAATATCACTATGTTATGTTATAAGTTACGACTATATTTCGTACCTATTCTCAAATATGTTATACGGGTTTAGTAGTTAGTAAATACGATTTTTTATAAATATATTCTAATGACTAATCAGTAATAGTTATTGTATTATAATATAATTGTAAATAGTAAACTGTTGTATCCTCTTTTGGTTTGATTCCCGAAGAGTATACCTACTTAATATTAAAGAGTTCGTTATTTTTCGGGGTTTTAGACAAACACTAACGAAAATCTGTTTAATTTTCTAAATCATTTATTATTAAAATAAATTAATTATAGAAAAATAATTGTTAAGACAGTGTTGTACGAATCGCGGTTCTTACACTCGACTGATAGCGACGCAGACGCTTAAAAAAATGAACATATTGCTTGCTCTACTATTATTTTTATTAATGTGCTTATTAATCTAAGATGGGTGCAAGGGTTCTCAACAAAACACATACAGTTATATGAATACACGGTATATCAACATTATCAACTCACTGGCCGAAATGTTCCATAAATAACAATATCTAATTGTAAACTTGGATTATCATAAATAAAGTACCTAATAAATAATAATAAAACCAACTACTACTTAGAATAGCAAATAAACAACAGTAATAATTACTAATCAGTGAACATAAACTTATTTTCATAGATTTAACTTTATTAATAAAATATAAAAGTATATGTACCGCGATCAACGATATGCAATAAAAGTTACAAAACCGTCTGCCTGTATGATAAAACTCAATAATTTTTACTATACTACAATTATACTTCATTCAATCATGCAACATTCTATATTTCTATCATTATTAATTTTTGATGTAAAAATGGTTCTTACTCTCGCAGTAAAAGATCTCATAAGGATAATCTCGATGATATAGAAGATGGCT